TCAAAGAAGTCTCGGATTGAAAAGACATTGTTTCACCGATGAAAAAACATCATATCCTTTGAGATTCAGATATGAGATGAGCTATGAAATATATACCTGAAAAAGAGCCTTGATAACCGAAGCAAAAGTAGTGGATGTGGTTCGCCTGATCACCACTAAGAGAGAATGTTCTTGACAAAGTGATCAATCTACAGTAAAAAAATATGTAAATTTCATCAATAAAGAAACAATTATGTGATTGTTTGTTAGATGCAACTATCAGGTATTTGTCCTATTCCTGAGCTCACTAATATAAGCTTGTTTTTATTTATTATGTTGTAGAGTCCATTGAGCAGTTTATAACTGCATTAGATTCATGGTTTTTTAAGTCCTAGAGTGGAAGGAGGATGTAGTCCTCAGCAATCCAACTATTAATTCTATCATGTTGTCACTTTCCACTTTGAAATGTTTCAACATGTTGGATCAAATTTAAACAAAGAATGAGAATAGAACAAGCTGTGTGGCATAATGGAATTTGCTACACTTTTGCACTAATGCTAGGAATGAAGGCGGCTTTGTTCTGCTGCAAGTATGGATGAAAACGGTAAGGATATTTATTGGACCGTCCGTTTGACCGAACAAATATGAACACTTATCTGGATAGTTACTCAGATATCCGTAATTTTTTTCGGATACGGATAATAAAACGGATGTCTTAGGCGGATATCAAATACGGATGTAATATCATCGATATCCGGCGGATATCGGATAATCCGGTTAAGTATCGGATATATCCGGATATTTTCAAACGGATATTATCCGGATATTATTCAAACGACCTTGGATGGAGAAATGATCAAAATAAAAATTGTAGATCTCAAAAAGTTATGAAACTTTGTTGTTTAAAACTTTTTCGTTTGAAATCATTTAGTGCTTCAAAATTTAAACCGTCCAAACTTTCTCAAATGGAAAACTAGTTTATAGGCGTTAAAATTTAAAAATCATAAATTTGAACCATCCAAACTATCTCAAATGAAAAGTTGACCAAAACAACAATTGTAGATCTTGATGAGTTGAACAAACTTGGTATTCAAAACTTTTCAATTTGAAGTCATTTAGAGTTCATAATACTAGAGTCAAAGTGTTGTTTTTTTATTTGACCAAATTTGACTTGGTCAAACTTGCTCAAATGAGACACTAAATGACCTCAGATGAAAACACTCTGAATACCAAGTTTGATCATCTCAGCAAGATTTACAATTGTTACATAGCTTATTTTCCATTTGATAAAGTTTTATCAAACACTAGTCACAAATTCTTGAATCTCATATAGACTTTTTGAAACTATGTCACACACTTGTGAAATTTGAACTATATTTTATTCAAACTTTCTCAAATGAAAAAATGGACTATATAAGGATTGTATATCTTGATGAGATGAACAAATTTAGTATTCAAAACTTTTCAATTTGAGACAATCTAGGGTTCCGAAAACTAGTTTGTAAACGTTGAAATTTAAAAATCACAAATTTGAACCGTCCAAACTATCTCAAATGGAAAGTTGACCAAAATAACAATTGTAGATCTTCATGAGTTGAACAAACTTGGTATTCAAAACTTTTCAATTTGAAGTCATTGAGAGTTTATAATACTAGAGTCAAAGTGTTGTTTTTTTCATTTGACCAAATTTGACTTGGTCAAACTTGCTCAAATGAGACACTAAATGACCTCAGATGAAAAAACTCTGAATACCAAGTTTGATCCTCTCAGCAAGATATACAATTGTTACATAGCTCATTTTCCCATTTGAGAAAGTTTTATCAAACACTAGTCACAAATTCTTGAATCTCATATAGACTTTTTGAAACTGTCACACACTTGTGAAATTTGAACTAAATTTTATTCAAACTTTCTCAAATGAAAAATAGCCTATATAAGGATTGTAGATCTTGATGAGTTGAACAAACTTGGTATTCAAAACTTTTCAATTTGAGACAATCTAGGGTTTCGAAAACTAGTTTGTAAGCATCGAAATTTAAAAATCACAAATTTGAACCATCCAAACTATCTCAAATGTAAAGTTGACCAAAACAAGAATTGTAGATCTTGATGAGTTGAACAAACTTGGTATTCAAAACTTTTCAATTTGAAGTCATTTAGAGTTCATAATACTAGAGTCAAAGTGTTGTTTTTTCATTTGACCAAATTTGACTTGGTCAAACTTGCTCAAATGAGACACTAAATGACCTCAGATGAAAAAACTCTGAATACCAAGTTTGATCATCTCAGCAAGATCTACAATTGTTACATAGCTTATTTTCCCATTTGAGAAAGTTTTATCAAACACTAGTCACAAATTCTTGAATCTCATATAGACTTTCTAAAACTATGTCACACACTTGTGAAATTTGAACTACATTTTGTTCAAACTTTCTCAAATGAAAAAATGGCCTATATAAGGATTGTAGATCTTGAATCCATGACCATGACTCCATGAGACCCATGAAGCCATAAGCTTGGCTATTTCTACTCATGTCGCGAAGATTGGTGCTTGTATGATGTTTGATGTATGATGTATCTGTATCTTTATCTTATTTGTTGCTTTACTCTTTAGTCTTTCGGCTTAATCTAGATGGATTATGGACTCATAAAGTGGTGTAATGGTTTGCGCACGTATGATATATATATATATATATGCTGCTTTTACTCAATATCCGAATAGATATTTATATCCGACCTTCTCCGAATCCGACGATTCATACCGTATTCGATACTCATTATTCGTATCCGTAACCGAGTCAATCCGTATTCGTATATGTATCCGAACGCTATCCGTGTCCGAATCCGAATCCGAACAGAAATATGAAAACAAATATAATATGAGTGATATCCGTTCGTATCCGATCCGTTTTCATCCCTAGCTGCAAGGCATAGCAATTCAGATCTATTTTTTAATCGTTTTTCATTTATTATATTTTGATAAGCATACTATATGAGACATGACAATGTTTCATGGATCAGGAAACAAACCTGCAGTGTTTCGAAGACGTGGATCACTTGATCTGCTGAACCAGACGACATGAGCCTCAATTTTAGTAAGCCTGACATCCAACAAGCGTAGCTGTCTGCCTAGAGCTCTATCAGCACGAGGAAATAGATAAAGACTGTTTAAGCACGCAGCGCAACAAAGAAAAGAGCACTACTGATTAGGACCCTACATAATAATTGTAGATCCCAATTAGCGAATGATTTCCTTATTAAAACTATAGCTTGAGCAATATATTGAACTTGTAAGTTATAATGCAAGAATAGGTTTAGATTAACTTAAGGGTTAAAGATAACAGCTACAAAATCTTCCATTATTCAAGAAACAACATTTTTTAAAAAAAAAAATCACTTACCCTGTCTGCACCATGCATTATTTGAAATCGCATGGATTTGTTAAAACACTCGTGCAGGAGTGCTGCAGCATGAATGTTCATCAAGGACAGTAGAACATAGCTTATCCGCCAGAGCTTTATAAACAACAGAACTGCATTTTCAATTAAATGACAATAGTACAAGATTAATTACTCATGAAGAAAACATTTAGAGCATTTTCAAAGGTGACACTCTAATTTGGCCCCAAATGAAAAGAAACAATAAAATTCATATCAAATTCACAAAACAAAATCAACGGCAAAATTAAAACTTGTACCATATATTACCTTGAGGGCATTTCAGTGAATACATGGTGGGCATCATCCGTGTCAACCTTTATGCCATACTTCACAAATACAATCTGAGTATGAATTTGACAAGCCCTGAATCCCTGATACCCTTCGCGACACAACATGACAAGCAGGTGAGCAAGCAAAAGTGGCAAGGGCGAAACACACACACACAAGATCGGACGTCCCTGCCCAGGCATCCTTCGGTATTCCATCTCTCTGTGAAGGGGATCAGGGATGATATCATGGAAGAGAAATCAGAAATCACGAGGTGCCGACCTTGCCAATCGAGGTATCGAGGTAGATCGAGATCGCTGGAGCGCAGAGGAGGTGCATCGGGGCCGGACAATGGTCAGTGGAGGTACCGTCATCATCATCTACGATGGGAACATTTTTCTCATCGCGAGCAGAGATGCGGCGTCGGGCCCTTCCGGACTCTGCCAGCAGAGATGATGATGCTGCCGAGCGCGATGACAGAGGATGGCGCTCATCGCGAGCAGATCCAGGTGTCGCCTGGGAGGGGAAGCAGCCGAGGAGAGGGAAGAACCGGGCTGCATCGGTCACTTCCGGGTTCCGGCGGATCCAGGCGGTGCCATCCTCCTTACTGCTGGCGGGAGGACGTGGATGGGGCTTGCGCGGCGAGGAGGACGTGGATGCGGCGCCGTCCTCCTCGCTCAACCACATCGACGCCGACGGCTACAGCACGGTGGGCCTACCGCCGTTCCTGCGCTACCGCCGCAATGAGGAGGTCCTGCTGCCGTGGATGGAGGTGAACTCCTTCACGGTGCGGCTGCCTCTCTTCCCTCCCCGTCCATGGATCGCATGCGTGATTTGAGCATGCGCGATTTGAGCCACCGCGTGAGGAGTGCAGGGGGAGGGCAAACCGACGGAGATGGCGGAGCGAGCGGCAGGGATCGCAGGGGAAGTCGCGGTCGCGGGGCGAGCGGCAGGGAATCGCAGGGGGAAGGTGGACCAACGGAACGATGGATTGTCGCAGAAAACCAACGTCCACGTTTTAGCGGCTTTGGTGTCACACCCGTGGACGAAATATTTATGAATGTTTTAGTCGTAAAGAAGAGAAAAAATAGAGATATGAACCGAGCATCTTTCCTAATAGCTCAATGGAAGAGGGAAAATGCTCCTCTTCCCTCGGCCTCCTCCGCCCTCTGCCAACTTCGAAACCTCCGCCCCGTCGCATAAAACCCCTCCTCGCCTCCTCCGCCCGCGCCCGCCTCCTCCTCTTCGACTTATACGCCCCGCTCTCCCAACTCACCGCACACTAGCCCCAGCCTACTGTCGCATTTCGTCGCTATGCAGTCCACCGCGGCCGTCTCCGTCTCCGCCTCGGCGACCGCGTCCCGCGGCGGTGCCAGATCCGAGGCTGCGCGGCGGCCAGGTGGGGTCCGGGTCTGCGGACTCCGGGGCGAGGCCCTCGCGTGTCCCTCGCTGCGGATCTCGCAGTCGCCAGCGAGGCTGGCGGTGGCGAGGGCGGCGGCGACCAATGGCGCGGTGGCGGGGAGCGGCGGCGGCTTCGACTACGACCTCGTCATCATCGGCGCGGGCGTCGGGGGTCACGGCGCCGCGCTCCACGCCGTTGAAGAGGTCCGCGTTTTTTTTTATTAAGTGCTCGGTGTAGCATCAGCACGGTGTTTTAGTGAGTCGTGCTCTGTTAGGATGTGGAATGGCTAGTAAGCGTAAGCTAACGAGTAATCCTGGTATAGTGGAGCTGCGAAATTGGTCTGCCATGAGATGTGTTAGTACTGACCAGAGACGATAAAACGTGATGCCTGATTGGTAATTTGGCATTAGAAATGGGAATTTTGCTTGAATTGGATGATCGGTGATCTTTGTGTATTTGATAAGGATTTTAGAGCGATGAGGTGCCACTAGGCCGAGGTTGGTGGAAGTCCCAGGCGTGTACCTGTAATTTGGGCGGGAAAATTTCTTGCTAGCAGTTAATTACTTGTTAGTTATGGTGCTAGCGCACAGAGTAAGCCATTTGCAACCTATGCCTAGTCTCCAAATTTGTTTGCTAATTTGGGTGCTTGTTCAATTTGGAGGTTTTGGTGCTCTGCATACCATTGTTGTTGGACTGTTGTTAGTTGATCTTCTAAGTAGTCCGTGTTAATTTCAAGAGACAACAGTATTTTCCCATTTTAACCACATGTCTTATGATAGTCTAGCAAATAAGAATGATGCCAAACATTAACCATACCAATAAATTTCTAAGAGTTGGTACTGCTTCTATATTGATCTTGTTTTACTTTGCTCTAATTTGTTCAGGGTTTGAAAACAGCCATAATTGAGGGGGATGTTGTGGGTGGGACTTGTGTAAACAGAGGTTGTGTCCCATCGAAAGCACTCCTTGCTGTCAGTGGTCGAATGCGGGAGCTTCATGATGAACATCATATGAAGTCTATGGGTCTACAGGTAATGTGGTCAGATGAATTGGGCGAGAGCAGTTCTTGATTTGCTGTTTCAAATAGGCTCATATATATAGTGCAAAATTGACAAAAAGCTACAGCTAGGAGTTTGTCTGAGTACTTTTGTCCATTCTAGCACCTAACTGTATCCATTGTAATTGCAATTAGTAGAATTCTACTTAATTTGTTCATTCCAATTTTTTCATTTAGAGTCAAATCTTTCTTGGTGTTTGTCGGAACCCAATAGATGAAGTAAAGCTGTAATAGACAAGGGAAGAACAACCTGGTTATATTTACCTCCACAAGTGTAAAATTAACAATTAAATTTGAATTAGTCACATGCATTAATCGTATAGATGGAAGGCTTTTAGTTACTATATGCCCATGTTACTCTTTATTAAAGTCTCCCCCCATCCCCCACCCCTCACTCCAAAAAAATCAACAATTTAAACAAGGACTCTGCTTGTTCTTAGGAGGCATGTGAAGGTCTCAGCCATTTCCTATGGTCATTAGCAGTTCTTACTCGAACATGTTATATCTATTATCCTGATTGCTGCTGAATTGTTAGGCATATTACCTTGTAACAGGTTTCCTCTCCTGGATATGACAGGCAAGGTGTTGCTGATCATGCAAACAATCTTGCCTTGAAAATCCGTAGCAACTTGACTAACTCAATGAAAGCTCTGGGAGTGGATATATTGACAGGTGTTGGCACTATTGTGGTAAGTTATCTATAGTCCTTGATTGATGTGGAACAAACAGTTATGTACATGAGAATCTTATCCTGGTTCTTTCGCTGGAGGTTGATAATTCAGAGTTGCTTGTGTTTGTACATTCTATCTAAAACTTTGCTGTGTACTTTTGAGCTTTGACAACACTTGGAGGAATTATTAATGCTAAATATTTAGTTTGTGTGCCGTATATACTGTTTTTTAATTGTTAATAACTATGTTTGTCCCTACCTTTTAAAAAAAAATCAATTATGTTGATTTTTTCTTAATATGCATAAACTTAAGCAAAATCACATATCTATAATCTATGAGCAGATTGAAGACTAGTTGGGTATGGATCAGTTAAAAGTTAATTGCATGATCTAACCAGAAATGAAACAAACTGAATATTTCTGGTGAAGATTATGACATTAATTATGTCCAGTGAGATAATGTGTAACAAGATCTTATCCATGAATGTGAAAAATGAGCTCTCTGTAGTTATACAAAGTCCATGTTCTAACATGTTTTCACTGATGTCCTGATCAGGGAAAGCAAAAGGTACGATATGGAAAAGCCGGTTCCCAAGATAAAGAAATCACTGCCAGGAACATCATAATTGCCACTGGTTCAGTTCCTTTTGTTCCCAAAGGGATTGAGATTGATGGTAAATACTTCTCTGTTTGAGTTCTCTTTGAATTTTGAAAACTCAATAATTTAGGAAAGTTATGGACTTATGGTGCATGCTGGAGATTTATTATAAAAAAATTATTCAGTTCAGTTCTGTTAAACTTCAATACCCATAATGAGGAGGATATAGATATGGCCGTGAATTGTAGTGTGATAGCCATTTTTAATGCACCTTGTGACTTTCGGCACTGCTCTGCTTTTCAAAACTTTTTGGTGGTTCATATTGATGCAGTCATTCCTAATTCAGTGTTACATGCAATGCTGTTTTGCTTGTCTGTTTGTTTAATTCAACTCTGGCTATTTTGCTTTTCATCATTGTTAGAAAGACCCAAATGTTATAATGTTGTAGCACCAAGAATCCAATCCCACCACATTGATTTAGGTTGGATCTGGAATCACCAGGGACAAAAAGCAAAGCATAAGGTGCCATTTGTTATGTCTTGAATATCCATACGGTTATATGCCTGCTTCTAGAGATTTTTCAGTGTTGCACTCATATTTTGAGAGCAAAAACTGGATATGTGATCCTTGTGGCCATTCTGTTGTCGCTGGCACAATTTTTTTCACATCACAAACAAGCCTAGAAATTTAGCGCATTAGAGATATAAACATTGGGTGCGTTCTTTATTGTAACATGTGGTGTATTAGTTGTCATTTTTAGTGTACTTTCCTTGTTTTGTCTGTTCTCACAAAATTCTGCCGGATGTTTATTTGCAGGGAAAACTGTATTTACCAGTGATCATGCACTGAAACTTGAGTCAGTTCCAGACTGGATAGCTATTGTTGGAAGTGGTTACATTGGACTTGAATTCAGTGATGTATACACAGCCCTTGGAAGTGAGGTACATTAGAGGCTCTTGCTTTGAAATTATTTGCTAGGTTGCTTTCTCCAAGAACCATTGTCCACAGCACCAGAGAAACTATGAAGCTTGCACAGTGTTCTGGTGTTCTTTAAATATCTGCTGTTATTTTCTCTGATTTTTCATCTTAGCTCCACTGATTGTTTGGCTATCGTGCAAAATATGATTCCAGCATTTTAAACTTAAGTAAATGCTAAATAATTCAGATAAGCTGGATGGATTCTAGTTCTAGAATGCTCCTTACACATCATCTGCAGTTGCCTGTTGAACATGGTTGTTGTGAGTTAATTGTCACTTGAATTTACTCAATTCAAAATTGGGCAGGTTACTTTCATTGAAGCTCTTGACCAGCTGATGCCTGGATTTGATCCTGAAATTGCAAAATTAGCCCAGAGAGTTCTTATCAATCCTCGGAAAATTGACTATCACACTGGTGTTTTTGCAAGCAAGGTTCACCTTTGGTCTAGCTTTCTCAAAGTATTCCAGACTTTTTTTTTGACATGGTTGAATAATGTGTATGTTGAATGGTCTATGGATTTTTCACTAGATTACTCCAGCAAAAGACGGAAAACCTGTGCTCATCGAGCTTATTGATGCAAAGACAAAGGAGCACAAAGAAACCCTTGAGGTGACATTTCTTATATCTTTCAATCTTTGGCAACTTGCTTTTGTTCTTGTGGATTACTTTTGCCAGTCATCTCTTTGTTATGGTATAACGGTACAAGTGCAACACGCATAATCTTTTATTATCTCGTTGTCTAGAGCTGCATGACTTTACTGAGTGAATGCTTCATATTGGTCCTATACCTGCCATATGTATAGTTGGTTGAGCACAGAATGCTGTAACAGTTACTTGTTACAAGCATTGTAATCAAAATCAGGTAGTAGAAATGTTTTATATCAATAATATGTCATGATTCTACTTCATTCGAACAGAAATGTATGTCTCTTAGGACATTGACACAATCTTCAAGGTGACACTTTGACTAACATCTATAGAACATATATTATTCTATATAGAACACATTTATATATTATGAAATTGTTTGTCATGAATGTAGTAATGTCAATCCATATAAATTTAAGATATTCAGTCATAAGTCCACTTGCAAATGCAAATAGTCATCAGAAGCAACAATATGGTGAGCAAGACCAAGTGCACTGTAAATCTCATTGGAGTGCATATAAAGCATTTCTGCTAGCTTTCCAATTTACCATTAGATTCTTTATAAGTTAACCATAATGGTTCACTGGGGTGGTTGGAAATCTGTAGGTTGACGCAGCTCTTATCGCCACAGGAAGGGCGCCATTCACCAAAGGGCTTGGCTTGGAAAACGTGAGTATCTAGAAATTGAACCTAGTAGCTACCAGATCTTATGCTACATTTTAAAATATAAGAATGCTGAAGCTTATTTTCCTTTTCTTCAGATCAATGTCGTTACACAACGTGGTTTTGTGCCTGTTGATGAACGGATGCGAGTCATGGATGCAGATGGCAATGTGGTATGTTGCAACTTTTATTGTGCGACTTCTTTCTTTAGAACAAGTGTCTCCTCAAGATTTCTGCATAATTCACATATAATATGATATAGGTACCCAATTTATATTGCATTGGAGATGCCAATGGCAAACTCATGCTTGCCCATGCTGCCAGTGCACAAGGAATTTCAGGTACTTGAGAATTCTGTTTTCTTGTGGTTTCTTGGAGCAAGCTTATTGGTGTACTTGTCTGATGTTGAATTCCTACTCAAATGTAGTTGTTGAACAAATCTCTGGAAAGGATCACATCCTAAATCATTTAAGCATCCCAGCCGCATGTTTCACTCATCCAGAGATTAGTATGGTTGGACTGACAGAGGTAAGTTATCTTCTTGTTGAAGTTGTTAGACCTGTCACCTGTCCTTTTCATGCACTCCCTTCTAATCAATGTTCATGAATTTATTGACTGCATATTTGGACACCATTTTCTTAATGGCCGTATTTTGCTCATTTGACTGCAATTAATATTGTACTTATGAAAGGATATAAAATAGGCAACGCCTTATTTTTTGCTTAATGTACTGTTTTTGAAACTTTCTCAGCCACAAGCCAGAGAGAAGGCAGACAAAGAAGGATTTGAGGTAAATGTTGTGAAGACTAGCTTTAAGGCTAACACTAAAGCCTTGGCAGAAAATGAAGGAGATGGGATTGCTAAGGTCATTCTGTTTGCTACTTCAAGTTCATGTTTTCTCCAGAATTTACACATGTGCTTTTGCAATTTTGCACTAACAGAATTTGGCAATATGTGCTCCTCGCTGCAGTTGATTTACCGACCTGACACGGGTGAAATTCTTGGGGTTCACATTTTGGGTTTGCATGCTGCTGATCTCATCCACGAGGCGTCCAATGCCATCGCCCTAGGAACTCGTGTGCAAGTGAGTGTCGCTTGGATTCTGTCATATACTCCTACATAGCTAGCAGTTCATCTTGAACCGGTACATAATTGTTTGTGCTGTGCAGGACATCAAGTATGCTGTTCACGCACACCCCACATTGTCTGAGGTCCTGGATGAACTCTTCAAAGCAGCCAAGGTATTATACATTGATCGATGCCCTCATTTCTTGTTGCTATCACATTTCTTGGCCCCATAATCTGAACAATTGCAAGCGACGCTCTGTCTCCAACAGGTTAATTCCGGTGTTTCTCATTCTGTAAATGAACCAGTTGCAGCCTAGAGAAGGGCGGGATAGCAAGCCAAGGCAGCCACCCCAACCGCTGCTGAAGGTCCTCAGCTTCCTCACGACCCTGTTTTCTTCCCCCAAATGAGATCGGCAACGGTAAAAGGGGAGGGTGTTGTTGTAGGTAGTATCTGTAGGTTACAGTTTGAGGAAAGAAATTATTCATCAGTGTCGAAAATACAAGCACACAAATGTTTCTCTTTTGGGGTCCAGATTATGTAGAGGGTCTTCTGCCGGTGGGGTGGGTTTTTGTTGGCTTCGTTGTTGCATATTTGTTGTTGGTTGCCCTGTAAGATCAAGTGCCGATACTAGCTCAGCTTGTTTGAAATAATCCATGTACCATGATTCAAAACTCGGATGTATTGTGGCATCGCGTTGGTCTGATCTGACTCACGGTCACGGGTCACGGAGGCTCGTTTGCCCCGAGCCCCTTGGGCCCGGTCCGGACCAGAATTACTAGGCAGGAGATCCGACACTGATACGTTCGGGTGGCGGTGTACGTGTATGTAAAGGCGGATCGAGTGCAATTGACCCGAGATCCGATCAATCGGTTGATCGAGAAGCTCTTCTTTTTTCCGTGCGATCTGTTGGAGCTGACTTCGACTACATGGAGGGAGGAGTTCCAGCTGCCGCCGCCGCAGCGCCGCAGAGGACGAGAAGTACTCTTGGGTGCCGGTGCGCTCGGCTAGGCTGACCAACTTGTCGCACCACCTGAGCGCCGTGCAGCAGTCGCGCTGGCTGGGCCGCCGCGAGGAACGTGGGTGGGTGGAGAGGGCGACAGCTGAAGCTGGCGCGCGACCTCTGCGACGTCATGTCCACATCCTGGTACGGCTTCTGGTGCGCGCTGCACGAGATGGCGGAGAACGTGGCCGAGGCGTGGACCCGGCCGGCGCGCTGCGACCGCGCCCCGAGAGCGCCGCCTGGTGGTGGTACGGGTACAACGACGACGTGCTCCCCGGCAGCCACGGCTTCGTGCACCTCACGCGGGGCCAGGCGGCGCGCGCTCGCGGACGCACCGCATCAGGACACCCTTGGATGACCTGAGGTGGCAGTGCTGGCCTAGCGCGGGAGCTGCCGCCGCGTACTCGACCCCGGCACTGCTGGCGTGCATGCGCCGCGTCGAGCGCCTCGTCGACCACCTGATCGAGGTCAACGATAACAACCTCCGCGATAGAGGTCGGAGGGAGAGACGGCGACGGAGATCAGCGCCACCGTCGCGGCGGACGCCTGCAAGAGAACCCTTGTTCAGGCGCAGCGCAAGCATGTCGTCGTTGATGCAATCACTTAAGCAATGCACTTGGATTCTCTCCCAATCTCACAAAGATGATGAATCAATGATGGAGATGAGTGGAAGGGCTTTGGCTAAGCTCACAAGGTTGCTATGTCAATGTAAATGGCCTAGAGCGTGAGCTAGAGCCGGCCAAACGATATTTATAGACAACCCCAAACAATAGAGCCGTTGGCTCAATTATTGGGTAGACTGCGGGATGACCGGACGCACCGGTAGTGTGCACCGGACGCGTCCGGTGGGTGACCGGACGCGTCCGGTCGCTGCCTGACTGCCACGTGTCCCATTCAAATGAAGTAGCCGTTGCTGCCATGAGTCCCACGCTCAACTGCGACCGGACACGTCCGGTGTGGACGACCGGACGTAGGATGGGCAGCTTCCGGTCAAGTCTAGAGGCTCCCAGAGTCGCTCTAGGTCGAACGGGCGCATCCGGTCGTACCAGACCGGACGCAGGAGACTCAGCGTCTAGTCGAGTCCAGAGAGCTCCCAGAGCCGCTCTAGGCCGACCGGACGCTCCCAGAGTCCGATCAATTTTAGTTTTGAAACCCGACTAGCTAGTTCATACCGGACGCGTCCGGTATAGCGACCGGACGCGTCTGGTCGCTTCTCTGCAAATCTGTATCGGGCTACATCACCTTGACCGGACGTTGAACAGTAACTCGTCAACGTCCGGTCACTCCACTGAGCCAGAGTCCGGTCATTAATACCGGACACGTCCGGTCACTCTGTGACCACTGCGACTAACTCCTTTTCAACTCTATCTTCTTTACCCTTGCTCAAATGTGCCAACCACCAAGTGTATCACCTTGTACACATGTGTTAGCATATTTTCACAAATATTTTTAAGGGTGTTAGCACTCCACTAGATCCTAAATGTATAAACAAATGAGTTAGAGCATCTAGTGACACTTTGGTAACCGTATTTCGATACGAGTTTCACCCCTCTTAATAGTACGGCTATTAATCCTAAATGTGATCACACTCTCTAAGTGTCTCGATCACTAAACCGAAAAGCTCCTATCAATTTCGCCTTTGCCTTGAGCCTTTTGTTTTTCTTTCTTCTATTCCAAGTTCAAGCATGTAATCATCATCATGGCATCACCATCATCATGTTATGATCTTCATTTGTTTCACCACTTGAAATGTGCCACCTATCTCATAATCACTTTGATAAACTAGGTTAGCACTTAGGGTTTCATCAATTCACTAAAACCAAACTAGAGCTTTCAATGTCCTCCTTTTTGGTAATTGATGACAACCCTTTCACAAAGATATGAATTAAAATTCAATTGAATCTATGTTGCTTGCCCAAGCATATTTACCATGTGTAAAAGGATATGGACAAGTTTCATGAACCCCAAATGGTAGCAATTTTTCCCCCTACATATGTGCTAAGAGTTTGGATTGTAGCTTGCACATATGCTTAGATAGAAAATATAGGAGACAATGTCTACCAAATGATGCTAAGGTATAAGAGATGGATCTTTGAAGCGTGGTAACAATCGGAGTGTACCAATATACCATCCTTAGCACCATTAGTAACTAGAAATACATAAAAACTAGAATACCCCATGAGATCAACATTAAAAGCAAGGGTTTAGTTTCCATAAAATGAACATAAGTCTAGTTACTTAACCTATGCATGCTAGTTTTTTATTTCATCATTCAAACATATAACTAGTATACACCACATAAGCATGGATATTGAAATTTAAAACTTATGCCATGCAAGCAAATATATGAAATGCACATTCAAAATGCAACATACAAGTTTATAAGCTTGCTCCCCCTACTTGTGTGCAATTTTTGATTGATCCCCTTACAATGTTATTTCATTTGTTTGCTCTCCCTATCTTACTATCTTTGTGAATTTCTCTCTCCCTTTGTCAACAATTAGTACAAAATGTGAGCTCAAATTTTAGATAGGTTGGGGTGAAACCATGTGAAGTAAGGATCATTTTTCTAATTTGGTTCAATCTAGATCACTTGCAAAAGATATTTAACTCGGTTTGATCCAAGGACAAGCTTCTTCACACCTCCAAATAAGGGTTATCTTGTACCATGTTGAGTTAAACACTTAGAGCTTATTTTCTAGATCAAACACTAGATTTACAAGCCCAAAAACATGTCATATGCTACCACTAGATCATTTCAAACATACAAGTAATAGTGGTACCATACAAGCATTAAATTCATTTGATTTTCATGAATGAGCCTAGGATATGATAGGAATGACTAGATGCACTAAACAAGTCCTTAGCAATGGATGAATGACATGTCAATCAACTTTACCTTGCTTTGCTCGAAGGAGAGACATGTCATATAATGGGGGGGGGGGTGCATCAACACATATTTGAGAAGTCAAGTATGTTCAACTCATTCCTTAGCTTACAAAACCTCTTTTCATCGAGTGGCCTGGTGAAGATATCGGCAAGTTGATCTTCGGTGCCCACACTCTCAATGCAAATGTCCCCTTTTTGTTGGTGATCTCTTATGAAATGATGGCCGACATCAATGTGCTTTGTTCTTGCATGTTGAATCGGATTGTTGGTTAACTTAATTGCACTCTCGTTGTCACATAGCAACGACACTTTCTTGAACTTGATTCCAAAGTCATTCAAAGTAGCCTTCATCCAAAGTAATTGAGCATAACAACTACCGGCCGAAATGTACTCCGTTTCGGTGGTTGAAAGTGCTACACTATTTTGCTTTTTTGATGACCAAGACACAAGTGATCTTTCCAATAGTTGACATGTGCCCGATGTGCTCTTTCTCTCAACTTTGCATCCCACATAATCCGAGTCGGAGTAACCAACTAGCTCAAACTTTGCTCCTTTGGGATACCACAAACTAATATTTTGTGTATGCTTCAAGTACCTCAATACTCTCTTTGTAGCCTTCAAATGACTTTCTCTTGGTGAGGCCTAAAATCTTACACACATGCATACACTAAACATCACATCCGGCCTTGATGCGGTCACATAGAGTAGGTTTCCAATCATAGACTGATACATCTTTTGATCCACCATGTTGCCACTAGCATCACTATCTAAGCTTCCATTTGTCCCTATTGGTGTACTAATAACTTTACTATCATCCATTCCAAACTTCTTGAGCATGTCTTTGATGTACTTGCCTTGATTCACAAATGTGACATTCTTCAATTGCTTGATTTGTAGACCAAGGAAGTAACTTAACTCTTCAATCATTGACATCTCAAACTCACTTGCCATCATATTGCCAAACTCTTCACAAAAATCTTTGTTTATTGACTCAAATATGATATCATCAATATAGATTTGCATTACAAATAAGTCATGTCCAAGCTTCTTGGTGAAGAGAGTGGTGTCAACCTTTCCCATCTTGAATCCCTTATAGAGTAGGAAATCCCTCAATCTCTCATACCATGTTTTAGGTGCTTGTTTCAATCCATACAAAGCCTTTCTCAACTTGTAAATATGGTTGGGTTTCTTTTCATCTTCAAAACTAGGAGCTTGCTCAACATACACAAGCTCATTGATCGAAAAGCTCTTCTTTTTTCCACGCGATTTGTTGGAGCCAACTTTGTCGACGAAATATGGTCGGCAGTCCACCGAGGGGGGTGCCCGTGGTGGTAGATTATCGGTAGGATGCGTGTAATCAGGAACCGGATGGTGACACAAGGCGTAGAGACAACGATTTAGACAGGTTCGGGCCGTCTAGTCGATGT